CCCCCGCGCTCCCGTCGGCGCTGAACTCCGCGCCCGCACTTCCCCCATCCCTCCCCATCCCGTCCCGTCCTGGCTCTGCTCCTCCACGCCCCCTCATCTCCCCTTGCTCCGGCCAGCCCTTCCCCCTCCATGCGGCGGGAGCGGCCGGAGTGGGGCCCGTGCCGCGGCCGCGCCGAGCCCCGCCGTCCGTCACCTCTTCGCCGCCAGATCCCGCAGGGAGCCGCGGAGGGTGTCCATAGCGACAGCAGCGGGTGAGGCCCCGGCCGGGGGAGGGGGTGCCGAGGGCGGCTCGGAGCGGGGGAGCGGCGGAGCCCGGCGGAGCGTTCCCCTCCCCCGGGGTCCGCGCGGCGGGGGGAGCGGGGCTGCGGGGCGCCCCCTGCCGCTCGTCGGGCGCGGTCGGGGCCCGGCGGCCGCTGCCCGGGGCTGCTCCCGCCGCTGGCCCGGGGCTGCTCCCGCCGCTGGCCCGGGGCTGCTCCCGCCGCTGCCCGGGGCTGCTCCCGCCGCTGGCCGGGGCTGCTCCCGCCTGGTCTGGCGCGTCCCTCCCCGCTGCGGGGCCGCTGCCCTTGGTCGCTGCCGCCGCCCCGCAGTGGCCGCGTGCTGCGCGAGGGGCCCCGGGCCTTGGCGGGCAGCCCGCGCAGCGTCCTCGCCCAGCCTGCGGGAGCGTGTCAGAGCCCCCGGCTGTTGTGGCAGGGCAGGTGGAGCGGCCTGGGCAGTGGGGTACGGAGCCGGGAAATTCACCGTCGTTTAGTCATTGAAAGCTCCAAGGAGAGATTGTAAAGGCTGCGTTAGCGCGCTGCTAAAGAAGGTGTTGTGTCTGAACAAAAGAACAATGCGGGAAACTTGCATTAATGAAGAAAGATGGTGAAATAAGGAGATTACTTTTGTATAGGATACCTGATGATTGCAACTTGCATCCTTCCATTTTGCTTTATAATGCAACTGTGAATAAGGAACTGCTCACTCATGCAGTATGCTTGAGGTTTGAGATACTTTTTAATCTGTTCATTTGAAAATGTTATTTTTCATTGCTGTCTGCTTTTCTAATTGTCATTAAATCATTTGGAAATTACATTTCACAGGAGGCATTTACTTCACAAGCTAGCAAAACACTAAAATTGAAGCAAAAGCTATATTGTGTCTTCTGATATACGTGAATCTAAATTATTTGGGTTTATTGAGATACATCTGATATTGTTTTACTTTTTTTGTTTTAGTCTTGCAATGTGTTGCAGTGATTAGCATGTGTTGCCGTAAGTGGGAAGTAAGAATAGGAGGCATATTAAAATGCTGGTCATTTATGAACTTCCATTATGCAGATCAGTAGTTCTGAGTGCCTGGGAATATGCAGCATTCCAGGTCCATCTGATTTCTTATGCTTGGTATATTTGTTTATTGAAATAGAAGAGCCTGTCAAGTCCTCTTTTTTGTATAGGAAGGATCCTTTGTTGATAAGACACATCTTTTGCTTGCCAAATGCTGTAGCTGAGCTGTGGTATGTAGGACTGGCAGGTATATTTCACAAGCTTGGCTAATGCCACTGATAAAATAATTTTTGCTTCTTAATGGAAAAATGGGTTAGTGGGAATTTCAAGGTCATCTTCAAATATAGAGTAATTTAGCTGCCTTTGGAATATGTAATTTCTTCTCCAGTGTCGCATGTTTTCTGTATATCAGTCCTGTCACTGTTGACATCTTCTGGATCTGTTTGCCTTCCACAATAATCTAATGTTTAGCAAGTTTTATTAGAAGCCATCCATAAAGCTTCCTAAGTTGATTTCATTTGATCGTATGATCGTAATAAAAGGTATTTTAAGAAAAGAAAACCTAATTGCTAAATCTAAACCTAACCCAAACTCACTATTTGGAAAGAATAACAAGAAAAGGGGTTAAGATGGATGAAGGGATACCAATACACTTTATATGCTGATGAACTAGTAAGAAGGTAAATTCTTACTGTCAACAGCTGTAAATTAGGTAAGTTCTGGCTTTCTGTTCTTTGATCTTTCTGGAAGCCTTTTCCAGTGCAAATTATTCCATTGTAGACATCTGCTGGTTTTGACTTTCCTAGCCACTGTACAGTTTGCAAATGAAATATTGTTTTCTTGAACACTTATAATTCTACTATAAATCTGTGAATAGTAGGAGTAAAACAAATTTCTTCTATCACTTGCAATTTTTTATGGTTTGAATCAAGAGCAAAAGCACTGGGGCTTTTTGGGAGTAAGGAAGGCAGCATCTAAATTCAGGTATGAAAGTAGGACTCAGAAAAATGAAGAAAAGCAATTAATGAATTTGGAAGAAGTTCCCAGGTGTTGCCACATTTGAAATTAATTTGATATATTGATTTGTCCATCTCATAATGTGAAAAAAAATTAAAAACTCAAATGGCTGTAATGCTACACATACCTGAGAATGCTGTCCTCATTTGCATCATGGAATCTGCTAGGCATAAAGGGCTTTGAAGAGCCATGTTTTCATGGCTAGACAACTATATACTATTAAATATATCAACTTTTTTGTGTGTTACTTTATTGTAAAAGGCTATTTTTTTCATACATTGTAAATGAAAAGCTTGTTTGAGCCATAGTAGTGGTATTTTTAAAATGCTTTACCATCTGTTAATGTGGGGCGTTTTTAGTTTCCTGTGAACTGTCCCTTTTTGTTGATAAGCTATATTTTATATGATATGTTCATGGTATCACAGATAATTCGTCTGGAAATAAGAATACCATGACCACCTTTACAGATCCAGCCTGTCTGGTGCCATGATATGTAGAATTGCATTAGATATATTTCAGAGTTAGGAAACACATTTGCAAGTGCAGAGCTAAGCAGTATAACATCTCCTGAGATGTAGTTTCATTCTTCTGAGGTGACCAATTTATTCATGAGACTGGCCATAATAAGAAAAAAATCTTCATTAGCTGGCAATTTTGATTCAAATATATATGTTCTATATTTAAATAAGTACTTCAGCTAAGTATCTTTGACTTGTAAAGGTAGCTATTGTAATTTTCTTTCATGGGTTATTTTTGACATGGCTTGCTAGAAAGCAGATTGATTCACCATGTCAAAGTAAAACCTCGGCTTTACATCATTTGTTGTAGGCCTCTTCTGGAATTTCATTAGGAAATCACTGTACAGTAGAACTAAAGTATTTTACAAATCCCAGCATAGGCCAAGGTGCTTGTTTGTTACACAGTCAGAATTTAAGAGCCCCTTTCTGCATTTGTTCCACCTGGAGAGAGACCCTCATCAAGATTAATATCTGCTCTCATTTGCTGACACAACTTCTAGTTTTAATTGAATGCTGTAACAGGGGCATTATCATTAGGTTAAAGCCAAAGGTTTAGACTTGTATGTTTAGTGAGGATATCCACAAGAAATATGACTCCTTTATTGAGCCCACAGACACCTCAGCCAAATCACATAAAGTCAAAACTAAGTCTGACAATTTCATCCTAAAACCACGTGCAGTTGCCCCCCTGATGCAATGCTTTTTCTTTTTTTGTGAGATCAAGTGCTAGTTTCCATCTCTTCACCAAGTCTTTACCTTTTCTGATCTCTAGATTTAAATACATTGATTTAAAATACAAACAAAAACTCCATCCCCCAAACAAAATAATCCATCACACCAGAAAGCCTTGCACCCTCAGGTCTTGTCCATAGGTAGATCTCCCTTTACAAAGGGAGTGATGAAATTGCTGGAGCAGGAGGATTTGCCATTTTCATTTTCAAAAGCAGAGTGGCAGGCTTTTTGTCTTATCTTCTTGATAATGGCTTTCCAGCTTCTTTACCTTGGAAATGAGCAGTGTTGCCATCATATGAATAAAGGAATCTTATAAAAAAAAGAATTAGTTTGCATTGGACTTCCTTCAGGAGATCACTTAGTCCAACACCATGCTCACTGCAGACTTAATTAGCCATGTACTGACTTTGTTTTTGCAAAAGCAAGGTAACTGGAGTGAAATATAAAGTCACAAGATGCCTTCACGCTCCCCTTGCTGCTTTCCATAAAGGTACTGTTTTACTGAGTGAGGTGTCTTTCTCTGCTTCAGACTGGGTTTTTTGTGTTAGTTTCTAAAGTGATTGTTTCAGTTTATCAGAAAGCTTCTGTCCTAACAGGTGCATCCTGCCTCACCTGCACAGCATGCACAGCATGTGAGGGTCCATCCAATATATTGAGGTCTTTAGAAACAACACCCTTTGTTGTTTAGGTTTCTCAGAGACTGCTTTTGGATGAGAATTTTGGTTAAAGGAACATTT